GTGGTGTCTTAATAGGTCTCTGTCCTCGGGAATGTTGAAAGAGCTCAAGTATGTAAAGGGATGGTCAGCTCAAGACTAAACTGAGGGCAATGAATTCACCTCTGGATGAGGACAGCTTACGCTCTATGAGCAGAGAGCTGGGCTGTTCACCTCATAGCCTGGTCTATGAATATGGTTTTCCACCCATTTCTGAGGAATTTAATCAGGGGAAAAGCTGGCTCTGAGTGAGCAGATAGGCTTTTACGTGAGGTCATCTCTCAGGAGATGATCTGTGTCACCTTGGTGATGGACAAGAGGAAGGACATTTTGTAAGAAGGGAAGAGAAGAGACACCACAATTATCCTTGGCTCCTACAGGATTTAAGGGTGGGACAAAAACTAAAATGCGCTGTGTGTGAGAATGGACACTGGTGGTAAAGATTGAAAGTCTAGGGCTTCCCTGGTGGCGCAGTGGTTAAGAATCCGCCTGCCAATGCAGAAGACACGGGTTCGAGCCCTGGTCCGGGAAGAGCCCACATGCCGCGGAGCAACCAAGCCCATGCGCCACAACTACTGAGCCTGCACTCTAGAGCCCGTGAACCACAACTACTGAGCCCGTGTGCCACAACTACTGAGCGCGTGAGCCACAACTACTGAGTCTGTGTGCCACAACTACTGAGCCTGTGCTCTAGAGCCCATGCTCCGCAACAAGAGAAGCCACTGCAATGAGAAGCCCGCGCACTGCAACGAAGAGTAGCTCCCTCTCGCCGCAACTAGAGAAAGACCCCGCACAGCAAGGAAGACCCAACGTGGCCAAAAATAAATAATAAATAAAGTCTACTATTGCCTTCCTCCTTCATCAGAACCCTGGGCAGGCTCCCCCATAGCCCTAGCCCCAGGGAAAAAAATACGGTGACTTGAAAATATCTGTCGAGATGCAGCAAAAATAATCACAATAGTCTTGGAGCTATACAAATGCAAATGCTTGTTCAGAACTAGTATCACATAAACATGAGATAATAAGTGTTAGAATGTGTGCCTCTAGGTTAAAACATTGATGAAATAGAGGATGTTTAGAGAAATGGACAGTGAGAGTTAGCAACATTGTTTAATCTCACATGGATCCTAATGCTTTTAGTTTCAGCAAGATTGACAGTATTCTGGACCATAAAACAAGACTCAGAAACTTTAAAAGAATTGAAATCATACAAAGTATCCTTTCTGCAACAGAATTAAACTAGAAATCATATAGAACTATCTCTGGAAAATGCCCAAATATTTGGAAATTAAACAACAAGAAATAATCCATGAGTGAAAGAGGAAGTCACAAAGGAAATCTGAAAGTAGTTTGAGTTGAATGAAAATGAAAACAATACATCAAAAATTTGAGGATGCAACAGTTAATATCATACTGACTGAGAGCAAGGCAAGAATGCTTTCCTTCACTATTTCTATTCAGAATTGTACAGGAAGTTCAAGCCAGTGCAATAAAGCAATAAAAAGAAATAAACACAAATTAGAAAGAAAGAAGGAAAACCATCTCTATTCACAGAAGAAATGATTGTGTTCATAGAAAAATCCAAAAGCATCTACAAAAAACTATTCAAACTAATAAGAGAGTTTTGAAAAGTCATAGTATTTGATACACAAAATCAGTAGTATTTCTATATACTGGCAATAGGCAACAGGAAATTGAAATTCAAAGAAAAACTTACCATATATAATAGTGAAGCCAAGGGCAGTCATCAGTTAGATCCCTTAAACTATAACTTGCTTAATAAATAACATCCTGTAACTTGCCTTCACTGACGAAGCTTGCTTTGTTTTCAAAAACTGCATACCCTCCAAGCTTCACGTAGCTTAGACAATATATCACAAGACGCCTTTCATCACCCCCTATAGATAACACCTCTGACATATGGATTGCTATATAGTACAGTTGTTTTTTCAGGAACACGGAGTTAGTCTTGCCCAGGACAAATCGGTCAAGACCCCCAACCATTAAACTGGTCCTGTGCAAATATCTGATGGATGACCATCTGACGTCACAGGACCAAAAATTCCACCCTCAGATCATCCTAACGCCATCATTTTCTGAACATGCGTCCCAGGAAGAAGCATGTAACTCAGATACACCTGTGCAGGACACAGGTTATGCTGTAGGAATCAACAACATGATTTTTAAACTTATATGGAAAGACAAACAACTAGAAGAGCTAAAACAGTTATGAGGAAGAACAAAGTTGGAGGACACATACTACCTGATTTCCAGACTTCTGTACAGATACAGTAATCAAAACAGGGTGGTACTGACCAAAGAATAAGCACATAGATGAACAGAACTGAACAGGGTGCTCAGAAATAGACCCATGCACATACAGTCAGTTGATTTTCAGTCAAAGATCAAAGGCAATTCAATGGAAAAGAACAGTCTTCATCAAATGATCTTGGAACAAGTGGACACTCGTCAAATAAAAAAAAAAACAAAAACCTTGATCTGTACCATATTAATAAGTTAACACAACATGGATCATACACCTAGATCTAAATTTAAAACTAGGAAACTTTGTGAAGGAAATAGAGGATAAAATCTTCAAGACCTTGAATTAAGCAAAGATTACTCAATGAAAGGATGCTCAACATCATTATTCACCGGGGAAATGCAAATTAAAACCACAGTGAGATACTATCAGCTAGCTGAATGGGTAAAAAACAAAGAAAATAAAGAAATCCTGACAATACCTAGTGTTGCCAAAAATGTGAAGCAACTGGAACTCTCATACACGTTGGTGGGGATGCAAAATTATTCAATCACTTTGGAAAACAGTTTGGCAAATTCTTATGTATACTCCCCGTGTGACCTAGGAATCTCAAGACAAATTTACTCAAGAGAAACAAAGACATAAGTACATACAAAAACATGCAGGTGAATATTTATAGCAGCCTTATTCATAATCACCCCAAAAAGGGAAGAAACCAAATATCCTTCAGCTGATGAATGATTTTAAAACTGGCACATCCATATAATGAAATCCTACTTGACAATAAGAAATGAACCACTGGGACACATAACAATAGGGATGAATTTCAAATGAATGATGCTAAGCTTTACAGATTTACTAAGGCCACATGATATTTGATTACATTATACGACATTCTGCAAAGAGCAAAACTCTAGGGACAGAAAATATATCAGTGGTTGCCAGAGCCTGGGGCCTGGGGAAAGGATTAACTACCAAGGGACACAAGGGCATTTTTTGTGGTAAGGGCTGTTCTATGCCTTGATTGTGGTGACTTACATGACCGTATGCATCTGTCAGAACTCACAGAACTGCAAACTAAAAGAGGTAAATTCTATTGCACGTAAATTATGCTTCAATAAACCTCACTTTAACTTTTTTAAGATTTTAAAAGATTTTTTTTAAAAAGCTGTTTGCTGGGGAAAAATACAGTAAGAATCAGAGTCAAGTAAAAAAAGGAAAAAAAGTCTTCTAAGAAGGAAGCACAGCTACTGAAATCAGGATGAAAGACACCTCAAGAGAGAAAAGATTTTTAAGAGAAGATGAAACCAATAAATTAGGTTTAAGATGTCTGCAAAAACAAACAAACAAACAAACAACAACAAAAAAAACCCAGCTTCATCCTGCCCTGAGAGGTCATCAGGAAAATAGAGTATCTTAAGAAATAAGAACTAATTTGCCAGATACTCAAAAGCTGAGGTAGGGCTTCCCCGGTGGCGCAGTGGTTGGGAGTCCGCCTGCCGATGCAGGGGACGCGCGTTCGTGCCCCGGTCCGGGAGGATCCCACGTGCCGCGGAGCGGCTGGGCCCGTGAGCCATGGCCGCTGGGCCTGCGCGTCCGGAGCCTGTGCTCCGCAACGGGAGAGGCCACAACAGTGAGAGGCCCGCACACCACAAAGAAAAAAGAAAAACGCTGAGGCAACTGAGTCAAAGAAAGAGAACGGTAGGCAGAATTCTAAGATGCCCTCCCATCCCTCTCCCCCGTGTACACACCCTTTGTGTATAATCTCCTCCACTTACGTGCGGGTGTGACTTGTAAATATAATAGGAATTCACTCCCATGATTAGGAGATTAGTCAATCGACTCTGAGTTCATCAAAAAGAGCTTATCTGGTCCCCTGGTGGCGCAGTGATTAAGAATCCGCCTGCCAGTGCAGGGGACACAGGTTCGAGCCCTGGTCGGGAAGATTCCACATGCCGCAGAGCAATTTAGCCCGTGCGCCACAACTACTAAGATGGCGTGCCGTAGAGCCTGTGCTCCGCAACGAGAAACCACTGCAGTGAGAAGACCGCGCACCGCAACGAAGAGTAGCCGCCACTCGCCACAACTAGAGAAAGCCTGTGCGCAGCAACGAAGAACCAGTGTAGCCATAAATAAATAAATATTTTTTAAAAAAGCATCACAAAAGGCAACAGCATAGAGAAAAGAGGGGAAGGCTAAGGGCAGACATCCTTGGAGAATAATCTCTCTCAATTCCATCCAGTGGTGGCCAAGAAAACACAGCACAGACTGGTGGAGGATCCCTGGTCTTGTCTCATTGCTCTTGATAACGCATTGTCCCTACAGGTTTCACTTCTCTACCTCCGGGCCCTGACCGCAGTCACCCAAGTACTAACACTCCTCTCTGGGGGGACACCCTCCCATAGGTCTCCAGGGCCAACAGTGACATCCAGAGCAGAAACACGTCTGTATTCACTGGACTTCCTTAACACTCATTCTCAACACAGCCGTTGGTGAGACTAGGCACCAGGAAATAACCACTCAGCTTTATAACCACAAAAAAAGCATGAATCATTCCTAAATCATCTTTCCCT